CCTCTCGAGCTGCTGGGATTACAGGCATGGGCCACCATGCCCAGCTACCAGGGTTTTTAAAAAAGAAAGAGAACTTGTAAGTATAAAAAAAACTTGAAAATACTTTAAACATGACTGATATTATAGTAAATACCAAAGTATTAATTTTCCAGAGAATAATAACAGATTGTTATTGTTCAATAATAGAACAAAACAGATGTAATAAAGTGGGAAATTTTTTCATCAGTGTTCAGAATTTATCCATCAGAATATCAATATTCAAGAAAAGATTTACAAATATAATGAATTGGCAAAACTTTTAACCAGTCCTCGGAACTTAACATCAGACGATTCATATTAGGGAAAATACATACAGGCATGATAAATGTAGAATTGTCTTTAATAATCATTAAATCTAAATAGACATAATGCACACTGGAAAGAAACCTTAGAAAAGTAAAGAGTGTAGCAAATCCTTTCATCTGTCCTCATACTTTACTCAATGTCAAAGAATCTATACTGCAGATAACACCCTACAAATGTATATCATATGGCAAATCCTTTGCTCATCCCTATATCTTATTATGTATCAGATAGTTCACATCAGAGAGGAAACTTGCAAATGCAAAGAAAGTAGCAAAGTCTTTTAAACTTGCTCAAATCTTACTCAATGTCAAAAAATTCATTTTGGGGGAAACACTGTAAGTATAAATAATGTGGAGAAGGCTTTAATCAATTCTCAATCCTTTTCCCAGATCATAGTTTGACAAGAAACTCTATAAATGTAAAGACTGTAGCAAAGCCTTTAGCATATGCTCAAACCTTACTTGACATAAAAAATTGATCCTGGACACATATACTACACATGCAATAATGACTAAGGAAAGATCTGTGTTCAAAATATGCATCAGTTTATATATATGGCAAAGAACCTGCAGGTTAAATAAATGTTAAGAAAGTATTTAATTATCAAGTATAAATATCAAAAGATTCATAGCAGAATACAGTAAGGACCTAATGCTTTCAGAAATGATAAATCAGAGTAATTATTAAAGTGAAATAATCCAAAGTCAAAACAATTGGATAATTTATTTGAATGTATCAAAGGAGCAAAGATATTGTCTTTCAATAAATATAATTACTGTAATTATATTACACTCACTGTAAAAAAAAATTCTTTTCACACTGAGAAGTTTTAATGAAATGAGGACATGCTTTTGTAATAACGTCAAGAAAAAAAGCAGGACATAAAATTACAAGATACCACCAGGTGCAGTGGCCCACAACTATAATCCCAGTGACTGGAGAGGCTGAGACAGGAGGATCACAAGTTCAAAACCAGCCTCAGCAACTTAGTGAGGTCCTGAGAAACTTAACGAGACCTCCCCAATATCAAAATTAAAAAAAATAAAAAGGGCTGGAGATGTGGCTCCGTGGTTAAATGCCCCGGGTTAGGCTCTGGTATCTAAATAAATAAATAATCCCAACCACTTTTTAAAATTTCTTAGAGTGAAGGAAATATAAAAATATTTGTTGTGGTAAGATTATTATTAACATTATTCTCTTTTTATACTGTTTTATACCACTTATTTATTTCTGCAATTAGAGTATAATGCTTACAGTCAGAAAAGGGATTTTTTTTAAAAAGAAAGCATCACATTGGAAAGTATAACCTAACTAGTGAGAACTACATAAGATAAAAACATGGATTCTAAAGGAATATCTAAGGCCTCTGTGGAATGGACTGTGTGATCTGGTTGTACAAACAGGGTTTTGGCTTACTTCCTATCCTTTCCTGAATTTCAGGTTGCTGTAAAGTTGAACTATAGACAGGCAGAGCATTACGGTTTATATGTATTTAAAGGAGAAGAGAGGACACAGAAAGAGGGAAAACAGAAAAAAGGGTAGATTCTGAGCCAATGCTTTTAGACAAGTGTCTAAGGATTTTTTTTTTCATTAATTAGTTTTTTGAAATTTAGAAGTCACAGATGGTGATAATTGTCACTAAGTCACTCAGGCTGATTTATTAAATTAACCTCTTTAGAGACCAGGATATTTTCTACTAACAATCAACTCCGTGCTAAAACTGAAAGAGCTCAATTAAGAATGTGAAGGGGGCGGGTAGGAAATGATAGTAGAATGAATCCGACATTATTATCCTTTGTGTAATCTAATACGATTACATGACCTGCATAACTCTACATCATGAACAGCCAGAAGAATGAGAAGTTTATATTCCATTTATGTATGATGTGTCAAAATTCATTCTACTGTCACATATAACCAATTAGAACACACAAAAATATACTTAAAAAAGAATATGAAAAGGTAAAAACTGGGAAAGCATAGAAGGAAGCTAAGCAAATAAGTGTCTGAGTATAGGATGGTTATATTTCAGAAAGGGTACTGAATGCTTTTATCAATTTTCTATTCTAATTTTTTTAAATTATGATGAAATATTTTTCTATGAAATAGAAATATCTTTTATTTTCTACTCTAATTTTGATTGAAATCATTAATATGAGGGTTACATAGGTTACCTTTTGATTTTACAACACATGATGATATTCACTCATCTATATATACAGACAGCCCCTAGCCATATTACCTGTCCACATCACCTCATGCAGTCTCAGCACATATGATTTTACAAATAGATGCTTTACTTCTCAACACTTCTGAAAATCATTTTAAAATTTTTCTCTGTTTCCCAAACACCACATGCTATGGAAAGACCTTAACAATACCTTAAAGTCATTTGAGGCAAGATAGGCAAGATCAAATCTGCCCTCATCCAGCATTAGTGGCATTAGCTAGCATTTTCAATAGATTCCTAAGGCCCTACCCAAACACAATATATTATATTGTTAGGAACACCCTTTGAAATATTATTAGCCCAATTTTATATAAGAAGAAACAGAGGTCCTAAGAAATTAATTTGCTAAACATCACATTAGTAATTAAGGTAGAGGCAAGGCCTAGAACTTGAGATTCTTTAACTCTCAATCCTGTATTTATTTCCACTGCTTCATGCTACAGAGTTACTGATAGATTAATCCTGCACCAAAGTATGTACCCCGAAAGGCCACATACAAGTTCAACTGTACTTCTGTACAGTTTGGAAGAGTGGAAAATTATTCCAGCAGAAGGAAAAATTGGTTGGTGGGAGGTTATGGCTGATGTTCACTTTCACCTTGGTGCTTGTTCCTACATCTTCATCTTCATCCACTAGAATGCATTCCCCTGCTCTCCACAAATCCATTTTTAGCATTTGTTCTTCATGCTGTAAGCAAATGCCCTCCCCTAAAGAAGTCCACGAGAAACTTGAGCCACTTTTGCTATTCTTGACTCCATAGCTCAATTTAACTTTAATAGCTTGCGAATGTTACAGGGTGTACTTAGTCTCAAATTTCTTGTTTTTCTTTTTTCTAAATCTAATAGGTCATATATGTATGTTTTAGCTCCCCAGCTAGATGTTAAGCATGATCTATTTCTACATCCTAGATTTTTCCCTTTTAATGATCTTCCTCATTTCTCCTAACTGCCTAATACAAGATATTTATTTAACAAATGCTTACCAAACAACTGAGAATCTACAATAGCACACCTTGATTTGTAATTAGGATATAAGAGATATAGTGCTACAAACAAAGAACTTACTTCAGGTGAATATATGGCCCTCAGTTTTCTCACCTTGAAATGAGTATAGGAGCAAGAAGTGGGTGGAAAATGTGAGTTTCATGATCTCTAAGAGGCGATGAATACTTAAATATTATTTTCATTGGGGTGGATCACAATCTACTTTGTTCCATTAAGGATAAGATGTCAAAAAGAACAATATTAAAGGCCAAACAAATAAGAGACCAAATGACTAATCCCCTAGAGGCAGAAGCAAGCCAATATGCTGGGGAAATCAATAAAGCAAAGGAAAACCAGGGAGAGTATAAATGTCCTGAACAAGGCTAGAAATGTGAATCCTGCTTGAGAGGGATGTGAAGGGGTACAATGTAAAAGGGAACAGCATAATAACTAAAAAATTTGCATTAGTGCTTAGGTAAATATAGCATAATGTTGTGCTTTTTTTCCCTTTAAATTTGCACTTCTGTCTACTATCAAAGCTTTAAATCAAATGCTAAGAATATCAGCATTGACTGCTTATGTTATAATAAAAAATTAGATCCATACTAAAAAAACCTTTGTGGAAATAAAACCAGAAATTCTTGATATCAAAATAGGGATTAAAACTATCAACATTTGATCATTAACAACCTATTTTCCTATATCCCCCACCCTTTTTTTTTCCTTTTGGTAAGGTGAGAAATAGGTTAAATTTAATCAGAATATTTTTACTGCATCTATTTAATTTTATTAATAATTTTAATATTCTAAGTAATATTGTACCTGAGTCATTAAAATTGGGCTTTAGCTAACAGATCATGGCATTACATGGGGTTCTATGCATGATTCCCTGAATAAGCTTCCTTGGATGGGATGAGCCTATAGCACACAGTGAACCAAAATCTCTGTGGTATTAGGGTTTTATTTGAATTGCTATGGTAGAAAGTCAAATTCAGCTTAAAACTTCAAAGAAAAAAAACCTCTGTAGAAACAAAAAAATCTCTAAAATTAAAAAAAAAAAGTTTGAATCAAATAACAGCTCTCAGATTATCAGATGAAAAGTTTTTAGCTGGTATCCAAAGTTGAAGTGACACTTTAAAAGATTAGATCAATAGGAGTACATGACTGATAAAAGGCCAGGAAAATTCCATTTTAAAAAGAGCAAACGCTTAAAGGGATTTGATATTCAAGAGCCATTTTTATGAATCTCCTGAAAAAGTTTTGATACTAAAACTGCTGAGAAGAAACTTACTATTAATCCATGTTATACAACTTTGACTCCAGTTTGCCCTTAATCTTCTACCCTATAGAAAGGGCTAAATTTAACTGAGAACTATAAATAAATTTTGTAAGGAAAAAAAACTGTGTGCCTGTATGTGTGTTTGTACTAAAAACAAACATACCTGCTTCATCATAGGATACAGTCAATTTTTCTAACATTTCTCGATCAATTGACAGAATCTGCTGTTCAAGGATGGTCTGGTAAGACAATACACTGTTTTCTTTGTCTTTCTCGTAGTCCTGAAGATGTTGTTTTAGGGCCTCTGGGAGCCGAGATTTTACATATTCAGCTGCAGTCTGCAGATAAAACAGAGAACCCCATTAGTACCTCCAGTCTAAGGTTCCTCATTTACCCTCAGGTCCTTCAGAGAGAACTCAAAGCACTGTGGATCCACTCTCCCAGTAAGCATGTCCTTGTCATTGTGACTTCAGATTACACTGCACCCAGTAAGGTGAGTCTTCAAGCAAACAGAATCTTAGGTCTTTAAATCATTTCTACCAGGTTTAAAGGTATAAAAGATGATAGATTTGGTTTGATATTCACAAGAATTAGCAGTCAGAATTTCAGTTATTCCATTGAAATTCCAAAGGCCCATGGTAATAATTTTGCTGGATATAAATTTTCTTTAAGAAGATGGTCACACAACTCAGCAGTGAGCCCTACCCTGTCACAGCACCCGCGTCCCTACTTGTTTTGCTATTCTCAACTCATTAATGCTGACACAGGAGCTCTTGTGAACTGAGTAGAAAGGAGAACCTCTGCTAGGGTTTATAGAAAAATAATAGAATAAATTAAAAAAGAAGAGATCTAAGATTCCCCTTAACCTGAAAAGAAAGAACTTGTATATGTATGTATGTATGTACACACACACACACACACACACACACAAACACACATATGTGTATATTTTTTTCTTAATTTTTTTTGTTGTTCATTTGCTTCTAGATAATAACTGCAAAAAATACTCCCAACTGGAAACATCTGAAATTATATACAGTGATTTTCAATCAAGGAAACATGCTCCACTTGGGAGTTAGAAGGAAAACAAGTGTATTTTGAAAAAGGCCTTTCCAAGGAGTCTTCTGGTGGGCTGATATGGTAACATACTCTCTCCCTCCCTGTTGAGAATCACTGTGAAAACAGTGATTATGGGAGAAATTAAATGACAGAAGTTTATGGGAGAAATTAAGTGACAGAATGGCATGTATGAATCAGGGGAATTCTCAAATTCTTATAATATACCTTGAGAATATTAGGTGTTTGGCATCTCCTTGTAGTATAGCTCTGCTTCACCTGCACAGTGCCTAAAGTTGAGAAACCAACAAATGAAGGCATATATATATATATATATATATATGGTTTAAAATTATGTTCATAACCACTAAAAAACTTTTCAAAGAAGCTGCAAAAAGATTCTTGCTGGGGTATGGGCCTAGAATACAGCAAAGACTCAGCTACATAGTTTGTTTGTTTTTTAAAAAAAGTCCTATGCAGCTATTAATTGTATAATTTAAAATATGTGTGCAATATAAAGAAATGAAAACATACCTTATATTCATGGATCAGAAGAATTAATATTGTTAAAATGCTATACTATAAAAATGATTTATAGATTCAATGCAATCCTTATCAAAGTGCTAATAACATTCTTCACAAAAATAAAAAAACAAAAAAATTCATATGGAGCCACAAAATAAAAAACAAACAAACAAACGAAAAAACCCTCAAGTAGCCAAAGAAACCCTGAGCAAAAAGAACAAAGCTAGGGGAATCACAGTGCCTGACTTCAAAATATACTGTAAACCTATAGTGACCAAAACAGCATGGTACTGGCATAAAAACAGACAAACAAACAGAATAGAGAGCCCAGAAATAAATGAATGCATTCACAGCAAACTGATTTTCAACAAAGCCACCAAGAACACAATGAAGAAAAGAACATTTTCTTCAATAAGTGATGCTGGGAAAACTGAATATCTATACGTAAAAGGATGAAATTAGATTTTCATCTAAATCAAATAAAAACAAAACCTCAATGAGATAATACTAAATTCCAGTTAGAATAGCAATTATGAAGAGACAAATGAAAGTAAGTGTTGGTAAGGATACAGAGATAAAGGAACCTTCATATACTATTGTGAAAGTAAATTAGTACAGTCATTACAGAAAACAGTATGGAGGTTCCTCAAAAAACTAAAAATAGAATTTTGCCAGGTGTAGTGGCTGATGCCTGAAATCCTCACTTGGGAGGCTGAAGTAGAAAAAAGAATTACCTACCATATGATCATTCTCACTACTGTGTATATAACCATAGGAAATAAAATCAGTATATCAAGGAGATACCTATACTTTCATATTTATTGAAGTACAATTCATAATAGCTAAGATACAGAGTTGAATTACATGTCCATTACTGGATTTATATATAATAGGTAATGTTGTATATATGCACAGTAAAATACTATTCAGTCATAAAAGAAGAATGACATTCAGCCATTTTTTACATTGATGGACCTGAAGAACATTATGTTAAGTGCTATAAGCCAGACACAAAAAGATTTTTTAAAAAGTAATAAAATATTACAAAGTTGGTTTCATAGAAGTGGAGAGTATAATGGTGGTTACCAGAGTCTGATGTAGTTGGGGTGGGTGAATGTTAAAGGCTACATAATTATAGTTAGGAAGAATAAACTTCAAAGATTTATTGACTAGTTAATAATAATACATTATATTTATGAAAAATGTAAGCACAGGGAGTATCATGTGCTTTCAAATGGTAACTACATGAGGTAATGCATTTGCCAATAAGCTGGATTTCACCAATCATAATATATATATATATATATCCTTCAAACCATCATGTTGTCCAAGGTAAATTTATATAATGTTATCTGTCAATTAAAAGATTAATAAAATACATGTGAGTTACACAAACACACACACACATACGCACACTCTCTCTCACACACAAAACATGCTCATCAACAGAGGTTCAATTTTTTTTAATTTATAGAATAGTATGGTATATATCCATTGGAAAATATGAGACAGGACTATACCTATTGACCAGGAGAATATCAATGATGTATTGTTGAGGTTAAAAAACAAAGCTGCAGTTGGGTACAGTGGCCCAGGCCTGTAATTCCATCTACTTGGAAGGTTGACACAGGAAGATCACAAGTTTGAAGCCAACCTCAGCAACTTAGTGAGACCCTATTTCAAAATAAAAAATAAAAGGGCTGGGGATATGGCTCTGTGGTAGAGTGCCCCTGGGTTCAGTTCCGAGTGATGATGATGATGATGATGATGATGACGACAACGACGACTACGATGATGACGATGATCATGATGCTAACCATGATGATGATAATAAAAATTTTAAAAATTAAACAAACAAAATTACAAAATATCAGGAATAATGTATCCTTTTAATGCAAAGCATACATATGTGTATATATTGTGTTTAGTATTATCATATATGCACAGAAAGAGAGAGCATACTCCAGTTGTGGAACATACTTTTTTGTTGTTCTAATTAGTTATACATGACAGCAGAATGTATTTCAACTCTTTGTACACAAATGGAACACAACTTTTAATTTCTCTGGTTGTACACAATACAGAGTCACACTATTCATGCAATCATACATGTACATAGGGTAATAATGTCTGTCTCATTCCACTATCTTTCCCACCCCCTTACCCCCTGCCTCCCCCTCACTTCCCTCTACCCAGTCCAAAGTTCCCTGGCAGATACTTTTTCCTTTCCATGTTTCAGTATTGTTTCCATGTTCTTACTATTGTAATTTTAAACAATTATCTTTTCAAAGTATCTTTCTTTGTGACCTTCAAGGTTTTCCTTTGGAATGTTAGTCCAATTTAGGATGAAATGAATTTTCCAGAACAAATGACAACTGACTTCTCAGAAAATGCACACTGGGAAGTGGTGGGGAAAAATTATATTTCACTCCTTGCAGAGTCACTAAACATAGCATACAACACTTTTTACTTCCAGATTTATATTGAGATTTCCTAAGTCAGATACTGATGAAATTACAACTTTAAAATATCACCAAATTTTGTTCAAATTCTCTGCCAGCCAGCTAGTTGCAGAACAAATAAAGTTATCTCATAAAATGTAAATGAATTCAGCATATTGGTGTAACATATTTACTCCTAGAGTTTAATAAAAATTTTCTCTTGACACTGGAAAAAAATATTTTAGCATTATAGATAACCATTTTAAAATTCACACTATACCTTACTATTCAGTGTAACATCTCTCTTTAGTAATTTTTTCCCATGGGATACCTACAGGTATAGGAAGTAGTTCAATAACGTATTATATTTGAAAAATATTGGTGTATTTTATGTTACTGAAAGCACACCATCTATTTCCTCCCAATTGTGTCTATTGATTGTATTTGAAATGAAATTCACTTTCTTAGTTACAATTCTGATATAGGTCTAGGAACAGTGCCTGCATCTTTTACTATACTGGAGTTATATTTTGGCACTTCATTTCTAAAACAGTATAACTTCACATATAGTTTTTTTCTATTGGGAAAGATTCTTAATAGAAAGAAGAAAACAACTCTAGAAAAATATAGATTCTGTTAAGATATTTCAAAAAATCCCCTTTATACTAAAGTGATACTGTAAATATATTCAAATGTCACATGCTTCCCTCTTGGTATGTTCTTTCATGGTGGGAAGAGAGAATAAGCAAGATCTCTGGTGTGTTTGCTTTTCTTTTTTTTCTTTTATAATTGATTTTATTTTTCAAATACATGACAGTGGAATGCATCAAAATTCTTATTACACATATAGAACAGAATTTTTCATATCTCCGTTTGTATATAAAGTATGTTCACACCAATTCATGTCTTCATACATGTACTTGGGATAATAATGTCCATCACATTCCACTATCATTGCTAACCCCCTGCCTCCTCCCTTCCCCTCCCACCCCTCTGCCCTATCTAGAGTTATCTATTCCTCCCAGGCTCCCTCTCCCTACCTCACTATGAGTCAGTCACCTTATATTAGAAAAAACATTCAGCATTTGTTTTTTGGGGATTAGCTAACTTCACTTAGCATTATCTTCTCCAACTCCATCCATTTATCTGCAAATGCCGTGATTTTATTCTATTTAATTCCTGAGTAATATTCCATTGTATACATATATATGCCACATTTAATCCATTCATCCACTGAAGGGCATCTAGGTTGGTTTCACAATTTAGCTATTGTGAATTGTGTTGCTATAAACATTGATGTGGCTGTGTACCTGTAG